GAGCGTGTGGACAGTACGATTCCGGTTGCTACCGACACTTTTTTTTTTGCGGCCATTGCCAGACCATTTGCCATTTTGTCTGACAAAAAGCGCAACTAGCAGCAGTTGGCCATGCTTGAACAGGATCGTACATGGTCATGTTCTGCACCTTGTGGTTGGTTTTGCTCAAAGGCTAGGCCTCAGAAGCCCTGCAGGAACATGCGTAATGGGTAACGAAGCAGGCCTGTAGAGCGAGGAAACTGATCTTATATTATCGATGTTCAAGACCTGACTTCACGACATGAACTTCACGATTTTGACGCACTTCAACAGCGACGTGTTTCAATTGCAATTGCAACTCTGTTCCTCGCTATTCTTCCGGGCCTTTGTCTCCATGGAGGAGGCTTTGTGGCAAGTAGCACCTGATGCTGGAGTTGTCGCTTCCGCCAGTCTGGTGGGTGGTTCATTGGCCAAAGTGCTGGACGGCCTGGGTGGCTTAGCTCAGATGGGTCGGGCCTGAAGCATGATGGCATTATTTTTTCATAAACACTTATATCTATAGCATGTAGTTCAGCTACTTGTTTTGCGCATGGCCTTCGTAAATATGCTTTAGTCATTGCCTTGCAACAAACTTGGGGTTGCAAGGAAGGCCTTTGGATCCAGGCCCTCACCATCTTCTCATATTCTCATTTACAGCAAGTCAGTCCGTGGGCAAGGTTGAAAAGATTTTCCATCAGTTTCATCCCACTCAGTTTGCTCCATCTCGTTGCTCGTTTCCAACCTGATTTGATGCACCACTGTATCCCACTTTGCTTACAGTATGTAGCCTGATCTCATCGGCCCCTGGCCTGGAACTGCTTGTTTCTGCACATGTCCCTACCTTTTCCATCGGAAGCCCAACACCCACTCCATAATCCCCTTACCTTAGATCCGTTTTGGGATTTTCGCGTCACCCAGGTGCTGCTGCCACCGGTGCCTCCGGCATTGCCTTGGGTGCCGCCTCTGCCGCCACCGGGGCGTTGGCAGCCAAGGCCTTCACCGAGCGCAGCGACCGCTTGGCTGTGGAGCAGCGCCTGGCAGAGGTTAAACGCCGCTTAGTGAAAGAGTCTGTCTGCCTAAGCAGGGGCCCCCGATGTTCAAGTCATGCTGGTTATGTGTTCTGCATCAGTCAAAGACCGTTTGTTTAACCTGGTTAACAGGATGTTGAACTGATAAGGAGGAAGCCACTAGGGCACTAGGGGAAAAGGAACAACCCATTATTTGATGCTTCACGACTGTATGACTGCCAAGGGGCCACTAAACAAGTTGAAATGACCGCAGGTTACTTCAACAGGTGGGGAATGGAGTGGTTTGTGGCGGATCCTGTCGCAAATTTGTTATTCTAGCCGAGGACATGCGCCACAGAGCTGTCCGATATCATTGGAACCTTTGGTTGCGGTACGGCAGATGATCGAAGCCGTTGATTGGTGCTTGGCCAATGAAGAGAGGCGCTCAGCACAGCAGAATTTGACAACTTTAGCGTTCGGCTGCTTTGAACCTCAGAAGTTGAAGGGTCAAAAGCAAAGTGCACAGGAGAAAGCGATCCAAAAGGAGTATCGGAGGCATGTATCCAAGTTGAGAAACATGTCAGCACCTGCTCCCCGTGCCTCCAACCAGAAGTCCAAAAAGAAAGAAAGAAAGCGCAGCTTCGAAGGTGATGGGACTGGGGTTATCTCCAGCATTACCATACCAGGTAGTAATGAAGCTTATGAGCGCCTCTTCAACCCACAATGGGGCACAGTCCGGAGCAAGCAGGGGCTTTGTGCCGCCTTAGGGTATTTGGTGCTGCAATTCTTGGAGCTGAAGAAGACAGCCAATGGAAACCTGGCTGATGGGCCACGATATTCTCTTAGGTTGGCTGTTTCCAGTTTGGCGCGGCACCATACCTTCGACGAACCGTTGGATGTGAAAGCACCGCGCACAAGCCGTTTGCTTCGACCATCCATTGCAACAGCTGAGCTAGATGAGATCGATGAGGAGGAGAACCGATGGAAGACTCAGCCAGGACACGAGCAAGAATTTCGGTCAGCTGCCGTCGCATTGCTTTGCATCCTTGATGCTGCCCTAGCCTGGCGTCCTTCCGATCCTTTGGGCTGGCTGGGTCAAGCAGAAGATGCTGAGGGGGCAGTCTTGGCACGGGAGAGAGGGGTTTGTTCTTTCTCATCTTTTGCTGGCAAGGTTCGGAAAAGCCTCAAGAAGGCCAGCGGAGGTTGCCAAATTGCTTGGCAGCGAATTGAAGTCCACTTAGATGCAATCAGAGCACGGACGCTCCCAGAACCTTGGCCTTGGATCTGGGTGCTCAATGAGGAGGCCTCCATGCTTGTACGCAACAGGACAAAAGTACCCCTGCGAGTGGAACTTCATCGACGAAAAGTTGAGGTCTCACCATTTGCAGACTTGCCACTCCTGAAGCAGGTGATGCGTTGGATTCACGGCAAGGAAAGGCCTATTCTGGTGGCAGATGTCAAGCCAGGAATCGAGTGGGCGCTCCGACCCAGAGCAAAGGAAGGCCGTGAGTTTCGAGTCCGATTGATGACGAAAGCTGGGGTGATGGTTTGTGCTCGTGGCTTACGCAGAGGTCAATCCTTTGATTTCCAAGTCCCTGTGCCACCACCTCCAGCTCAGCTCCGGGTGGCATCAAGTTCACGTCAGTCTGCCTTGACTGGCATTGAAGGCACCATGCAAGGACGGATTCAAGCCACTGATGATGCCGTGAAAGCCTTTGGAGGAAAGGAACCTGACGATCGCGATGATCGAGGATCGATTGCATCCACAGCCACACCATCCCTGGCTTCAGGGCGTCTTAGCTTTGCGAGCACCGCCTCAAGCATGCGGCCCTCCAGTGTTGGCAAAGAGCCAATGGAAGGCATGGCCGCTATGGCCCTCAAGCTAGAGGAGCGGCGGCGCAAGGTGGAAGGCCTTCCGCCATTGGCCTCGGCAGATGAAAATGAGGAGAGCCCCACAACTGAGCCACAGCAGGCGCCACAGGTGGCGGCTCCAAAGGCCGAGAGACGAGGACTACTGGCCGAGAGCTCAGTTGAAGGCTTCCGGTGCTGCCTTTGCCCTCGCTGTTTGCACAGTATGCCTTTGCGCCGCACGCGGCCACGTGCTTCTGTGTATTCTGGGGGTGTTCGTTGTGATCACTGCAAGAAGGAACTCATGGGTGAGGAGGAGAAGAGCTCATCACCCTGCACTGGTGAAGATGCCCAAGAGGCATTTTGCCATTGCAGCCGCTGTTGGTTTGACCTGTGCCGACAGTGTGGGTACAAGGAGATGAGAGAGGTGTGGTGGGGAGAGGACTGAGAGGCGGAGCAATGAGCAACTAAATACCACAGTTCCGTTTCAAGTCAGTGTGAAGGGATCGCACAAGTACTAGATTACTAGATGACCAACATCACTTCTAGCTTCATATAGCCACATGAAGCCATTGTTTGACAAGACCCAAGACTGGCGAATCACTTCAAACGTGGTAGATCTGAATTGAGCGCTGTGGCTTTGCTGGCCAAGCTTTGAATCGCAGTTGCCGAAAGAAAAAGGCCATTGCTCCAAATCCTGCATCAATTGCGTTTCTGAAAAGTCATGAAAAGTCACTCCGCTTAAAGACGCACACTCTGAGGTCATGAAGGCCAAGAAGGCCGTTGTCAAGAGGCTTCACAGAAATCCTCATGGCCAAACGATTGACAATTTGATGGTGCTTGAAACATTTCAGAACGTGTTTCGAAGGCAAAAAGGCGGAATGTCCCACGGGATCAAGGTCAGCCAGGCCGATGGAGCTCCAAGCCGCTAGCTGCGGTGCGCACTAACTTCTTTTAAAGTACTTTGAGGCAGTTGTCAGCAAGCCCGCCAAATCGAAGAGAAAGCAACTTGCCAAAATTTGGCATCCTGCGTGTTCAGACACAGTTTTTGTGTGCAAGAGATGTGATCAAGTGAGTGAAATATCGATATCGATATCCAATCAGTGGATTGAATGACAGGAACGTCACGCGGTCGCCCTTCCATGGCTTTGGGCAGCCGGGAGCCAAAGAGGCCACTTTGCTGGGTGTTTTGGTGAGATTTGGAAGCCCGGCGGCGTACGTTGAAGGTGAGACAGCTACATAGGCTCTTGGCGAAGCAGTTTGGAGAACGACGACCAGGCGAGGGATGTATGTCAGTTCCATATTCCTATGTTCAGGTCCAGGTTGAGGATTTTTGACGACCAGAAACGAACAAGCCAATTAGCTAATCCCCCAAAAATCAAGTTGAAGGGGTTGAGTTGTTTGAGTGAGGCAAAAGCAAGAGACAGATTCTGGACACCGTGGTGGGCACCATCTTGCCTGAAGCTTTCTGAGCTATCAGCTATTGTGCAGATCCATTCACGATGTCAGGCGGTTGAAGCGACGAAGTCTCTCAGGTCACAGAACACCACAAATACCAACTCGCACCGGGCCTTCAGCGAGCTCAAAAAGCGTTGCTTGGCACCCCGAGATACAACTATGGCTATGGTTGACCTTGATCATGGGCCTGGGAAGAGCTCGGGAAAGAGTGCGGATCCTTGCCGGTGTTGCTGCTTCTGGCTGCTGCTGCTGCTGCTGCTGCTGCTGCTTCCTTTGCTGGTGCCCGTGGTATCAGCAGGGCAGTGGTATATTATAGTATAGTATACAGTTGTGCTGGAACTATAGCCAATCGTGGTCGTAGTTGTAGTCGTGGTAGTGTCGTTGACGTCAGAATCATGGTATCAGATGGTATCAACAGTTTCGCTTTGCCTTGCCCAACGCTCGAAGCCGTGAGAGCAGCCAGAAGGAGGAGGCAGGCAATCCTTTTTCGACACCAAGCGCCTGCCTTTTAGCAAGGCTGCTGCTTTAGTGCAGATTCTCGACTTGTTACTAGTAGAACAAAGCATGCAACTTCATTTTTGCGCATTGTGCGTGAGATGTTGCGGAACCCTTTGTGACGCGTGCTTCTTGTGACAAACTGCTTCTCCAAAGACTCTGAGTCTGGGTGCCTTACTGTACTATTTAAATACATCCCGGTTCTAAGTTCTACTTGGCTAATACGAACCCTTAGCCAGCTAGAGCCGTACCATGAAAGACCAAATAAATCCAAAAAACACACGTTTTGACTTTTTCAAGAACGCATCAATTGCGTGTCCCAAACCCTTCATCAAATGCCGTTATGTACGACGTTGTTTGCAGTCGATTTTCAACAACCTTCAACAACTCAGATTTGGCCTTCCAGCTCAAGCTGAAATCTTGCGATTGACTATGCCATCCGGACACAGGAAGATGCCTGTGTGTGCGCTTTGGAGCCTGGGTGCTGGTGCCGCTGCAGGGTGCCGCTGCCAGACGTGTGCCGCTGCAGGGTGTTGCTGCTGCTGCTGCTGCACGGTGCTGCAACGAGATGTCAATGGCCGTGCGCGCTGTGGGGCGCTAGTGCTGGTGCTGCTGGAGGGCAGAGTGTCGCTGCAGCGTGGTGCTGCCAGATGCTCATGGCAGTAGGCGCTTCGGAACCTGCGTGCTCGTGCCGCCATGGTGCTGCCACACATATCTTTTGCTACTTGGAGTCTATGCAGTCTATGCTGGTGTAACTTTTTCCCTCACGCTTTGCAACTATGCCAGCATGCAATGCAGACATGGAGGTATAAAACTTGGCGAGGCTTCCCTAGCTGGGATGCTGTCAGAACTGCGCGGCCTGCTGCCGTCCAGCAAGCAATCCGTTGTGGCGGACTTGCCCCAAAGCCGGGATGCTGTTGGGTTTGGGAGGCAATTAAAGTTCAACTATCAATGCTAGGGCTAAAGGACTCCTCATGCAGATCGTTCCGCTTGGACGAAACTTCCCTCACACCAGCAGGAAGACCAGATGGATCCAAACCATGTTGAAGACTCTTCACAAGGACCTCTTCACTCACGTGAGTCACAATAGAACTTGCTCGCCTGGCTGGCCTGGTTTGTTGACATTGGTTATTTGTCGAAGCAGGAACGTGGCAAGACTTCCATGGAGTTTCTTCGCAAGCTCGACAAGGACTCAGTGCATGCTGAATTGGAGCGCTTCCAGGGCGTTGGCAAAAAGACCAGCGTGGCTTGCAACAGCAATAAACAACTGTTGTTTGGTCCAAATCGTGATCTGTAATTTTATGATTCTCCCCTTTGCGTGTAGCACGGTAGTATCGAACCTTTTGAACCCACACAAGTGGAGTCACACAAGGTTCCCCAGATCGCGCGGGAGGAGAATACTATACAACCCCTTCGTTGTTTAATGCTGGGGAAGTGACACTCTTGGCTTCCAAATTTCAGAGCGACTTCTGCCCCAAGGGGCCACTAGAGTGGAATTACTTTAAGTTTTGGACATAGTTACCCTCCAGTACGCGTAGATAGCGAATTGCTTGTATTATGTCGAATATAATTCTTGTGTTTTGTTCTATTTGTATACATGCCCGGGGGAATCCAAAGTTGAGGTTTCGGTGTATCAAGCTGAGGCCATCATCAACCTGTTTGATTGCAACAATCCTGACATGGCTGTGGCCACTTGCTTGCTACACTTGCTGCAACATAGACATATATAGTTGTTTCGAACGTCAGAGATTATTGATTTGGGTCGTGGGGTGCTCACTCTCTCATTTTTGACTAGTGTCCCAGGCGTCCCCTTGCCCTGGGCAAAGCACGCGATACAAGTGTGTCAGTGTGTGCAGAATTGAGGATACACACGTATTTCGCTTCGCACTGCAACTGGGCTGGGCGCCTTCCGAGAAGCAGCGCGCCCGACACAACAAGGAGTGGCTTTTGATTGGAGCTGGCACTTTTGGTACCTGTATGGACTCGTTGATGGGCACATCCTGTGAATTCCTGATGATTGTTTGCATGCGAAAGGTGTGATATGCACGGAACAAGGGTTTTGCACGACCGGATGCATTGCCTTTCCGCAGGCCTCCAGCCAGCCATGGCCAGCCATCACCCGAGACACTGTTTATGCACATCTAGATGCGAATTTCCCAGATGCATGGCTTAATACATCTTAATACCATTTTGGTTATTTTTGCTTAGATAAGGAAGCTGTGAACTCGTTCATAGCACTTTGTTTGTAAAGAGCATGAAGTGAGCATGGTGAACGGCCTGTGCTCAAGCAGGGTGGGTAGGGAGGGCGAAGGGGTGTCCTTCTAGAAGGGATGTCCTTCTTCAATGAGAAAGGGGGTTTAATCTAGGTTGATGTTGCCTGCCCCCTCTCACAAAAATGTTGATGAATCCAAGCCACGTAATGTGGATGTTGCCTTGCGAGGGGCGTTGGATCTAGGGACAAAGAATTCCACGATTAGGATGCCATGGGAACAATCACCATTCACCAGCCTTGTGATGGGGGCATTTGTTCTCCCTTGGTTGGACGTGCCCGAAATTCCACGCGTGTTACCGCCGCTGCAGTCCAATTTAGATGAGACTTCTGCTTGCGACGACTTGCCAGCCAAGAGACAGAGAATACGTTACCATATGCATGTATCAAGGGTTGGAAATCAGCTGCTGGGCAATGATGCTGCAGACTCCCAGTCAGCCCTGGGGTTTCAGATAGTGTCGGATGCCTTGCGCGGTAAGTCAACGAGCACTTTGAAGATTAGAGTGTCATCCTTGATGTTGTATGTCAAATGGTTGCTCAGCTCTTACCCAGGGGAGGAATTTCTGCCTTTTTCGGAGGAGCGCTACTATGAATACTTATGACGTTTGAGAAGCACCTTGCCGTCAGCAACGAGAGGCACAACGTTCTTGATTATGAAGGGTGCTGTTGAATGCACGACCTCTGCAAGATGTAAAGGAGCAACATTGGACATGTACCTTCACAAGAAGCCGTTGAAACAAGCTCCAGCACTGACCGTTAACATGCTGTGTGTCTTGGAACTGGCATCTTTTTGTGAGAAAGACAAGTTTCTGCGTGCGTTGGCTGGTTTCATTCTCTTTTGCGTGTATGGTCGCCTAAGAGTGTCCGATCTCAACAGGCTGGTACACTGCTCATTGTTGGGAAACTATGTGGAAGGGTCGCTGATGAAAGTGAAGACTGCTAGGTCTAAGGAAAAGCCGTGCACGTTTCTGCCGGTGGTAGCGCCTGCCATGGGCGTCTTGGGAACAAGATGGTTTCAAGCTTTTGCGCTAAACAGAGCCACATTGGAGTTGGACAGCGTGCATCAAATGAGAGCTTTGGTGTATTGCCATCAGAGTCCACCATTCATTTGGACTTTTACTCCAAGATCGATAGTGCAGAAGTGACGGAGGGCTTGCAGAGGATTCTTGGTAAAGTCTTCAGTCGTGAGGAGCTGTGCGACTACACAAGCCACAGTTTGAAATCCACTTTGCTACCTAGGAAAGCATGGATGCGACTACACGTACAGTGAGTTGCTGGGATACCATTTGGCACAGCACAAGAGCGCTTTGAACTACCAAAGAGACGCCCTTGCTGACCCGATTCGTTTCTTGACCCTCCTGGATAAGATTAAAGTGGGGTCTTTTTGTCCAGATGCTGTGAGAGGCGAAGAATTCCCCGCAGATTGGAAAAGTTCGCTTGGCCACTTGGAAAGCAGCACTGGATTCAACCTCTCGTCTATTTGTGAGCTTTTCCTTGAGGAGTCAGTGGATGAAATGCTAGGACCTGCTGGCAACTCGGACCTTCAGGTGTTGTGGGACTTGCTTTGCCAGGAAGACACTAGCATGAGCGAGGGCAAGGGCCCAAAAGTTGCCGGAAGGTGTGACGAAGAGACCGTTTTAACGGAGATCGAGAACGACCGGTCGTGTGAGTCAGACTCCGGGTCATCTTCAGTTGAAAGTGGAGTTGCAAAGGTTGCAGCTGACAACATGGGCCAACGGCATCCTCGAGGTGTTTCGAGCCATGCAATCATGGAAATGATTTATCGCCGCAAGAGGACAAAGTGCCTCCACTTTGAGTCAGCATAAAGACGACAGTGGCAGGACTGCGTGTGGTCGTGTACTGAATGAAATGTTTGTCAGGTTCGATGGAGATCCTGACAAGGCATGGCCCCATTGCAGCCACTGCTGGGGAAATATGAATGTATAGGCAGCACAAGATTTTATAGCCAGCAATGATCCCTTGGTGTAAGGGGTCAAGGCGAGAATGTGGATGACTTGGCAACTTCAATATGAAAGGCAAAAGAGGCCTCCTCCTAAAGCCGTCGTGCCATGTTGATGTGGAACAGTCATGAGCCGGCAAGCACTTGTTTTGGTGGTATGGGTGCAGGCTAGGCTGTATCCCTCTCCTTGTGCCGTTCTGTCAGGTGTGCAAGCGAACAAGGCGAGATGTGGAGGAGTGCCAGTGTGGGCACACATCGCGACGAGGTTGTGCACGGATGTGTTGTATGTAACTGTGGGGTGTACCACAGTGTCGTGTTGCAGCGTCCACGCTGCCATGAGAGGTTTCAGAACCTTATTATTTTGATGTTTGAAGGACAGACTATGTTAATGTAGTGTCGTCGGCTCAAGCAATCCTGTCATGTTGGACTCGGAGGCTGATTTCGAGGACCGGGCGACCGCCATAGGCATCTCCACGGCAGAGCTAGCTCAGCTAAAGGCCCTGAACTATAACACCTTCGGAAGGCTAGCTTTTGCTGCAAACTATGTGCCAGACCAAGCGGACGACGAACCACTAAGGTCGCTGGCTGCCTCCATTGTGGGGATTGACCCTGCGCCAGCAGATCGCATGGCAGTGGTGCGCAGGCTTGTCTTCGAAGCGTACTCGCACGCAGCAGCGGATTTGAAGTTTCGTCTAGACAGACGAGACGATGATGCTCCAAGGAAGCTCGCGCAAGCAGAGAGGTCAGCTCGCTATACCGACCAGGTGAGACGGTTGAAAGGATTAGAGTTGAGTGGTGAATTGGAGCCATCACACCGCTTGATCGACACGGTCTACCAGATGGCGGAGGAGGGTCAGTTGAGGTATGTCAAGTGGGAGGATTGCACAAAACGTGACCAGGAGCTGATGGGTTTCAAAACTGACCCAATCTGGCGTCCCGATTCGAACGGTGTCGTCAAGGAGGTCCGGTTGGCTGAAGATATGAAGGCAGACTTCACCACAGACTTGAAGCTGCGCTTGGCCTTGCAGAGGCGCTCGTTGGCCTTCGACCAGTCAAGGTTGGTTGATTATGAGGATTTCGAAAAGTGGACCCAGATACTCATTGAGGCCTACACGTCATCTCCTCCAAGTGGCTACAGCAGAATCAGCTTAGAGCAAGTGCACCGCGCCGACTTGGAGCTCTTCAAGCATATGATGAGGAGCACTAGGGGTGGCGTCAAAGTGCTGAGTGGAATTCAGCCTATGAAAGCAGCTTTGCAGCAGGCCATCGTTGCCCCGGAAGTTCGCCTCTGTCTGCAGCCGCTACAAGGTTCAAAAAGGCAGCATGAGTCTCATGATGAGGATGTCAACAAGGTGAAGAAGCTGAAGGCAGCTTCCAGTGACATCGAAGAACGGCTGAAACGTCAGATCCAGAACCTGCAGGGACAGATCAAGAATCTCCAAAGTGGAGGTAGTGCTGGCAAGGGACGTGGCTGCTTTGATTTCAATTTGAGCGGATGTTCCAAGGCGGAGCCTGGTGACAAGTGTCCGAAAGGATACCACACCTGCAAGAGGCCTGGGTGCAATGAGGCTCACAGCCAGAAACAGCATCCTGGAAAGTGACAGCATGGCAACCCGGTTTTGGCGGCAGCTGAGCAGGCAAAAAGCCTGAGAGAGTTTTCTTACACTGGTGCGCCCAGCTCAGCTATTTGCATAGAGTTGTGCGCTGGCTGCGCCAGACTATCCCGCTGTTTGAAGAACAAAGGGTTCTGCACTATTTCCATTGACCATTCGAAGAATCGTCATCAAGCTCTACACCCCACGATTAACCTAGATTTGGCGAATGATGACTGCTTAGTGCAATTGCTAAGCCTGTTGGAGAGCCAAGACATGGTGGTTTATATACACGCAGCTCCCCCATGTGGACCTTGCAGTCGAGCTCGAAATCGCAGGATCCCTTTCCATCTACGCTCTCAAGGCGCGCCAGACCCTAAGCCACTTAGGTCCGAACGTTGGCCTCAGGGCCTACAGGAGTTGCTTGAACTGGATGCCGAGCGTGTGGCTACTGCCAATGCAATTTACCAGAACGTGTGTAAGATTGTCAAGCATTTTGCTTCCTCTGCACTCATCTCCATTGAAAACCCTAGCCGCTCCTATATGTGGCTTACGTCTTGGTTCCAGTCTCTTATTTCCGAGTGCAATCTAACCCCTGTTCATTTCCAGCAGCGCATGCACGGGGGCCAGAGAGACAAATGGTCATGCTTCTATGTAAACCACACGCTGTTCCAAGAGCTAGCCTTGACCTGTGACAGGAGCCACGAGCACCTGCCATGGGTGGTCGCCCAGGAAGAGGACAAGTGGGTTTTCAGTACTGCGCAAGAGGCGGAATATCCGGAACTCTTGTGCCAGCGCATTTCTAGCATTGTTGCCACGGTTTGTCAGCAGCGAGGCGTTGTGTTCTTGCAATCTAAACCAAGACAACCGAACTTCCAGGCCAAAATTCGGGCCGCTGAAGCCGGTCATTCCCGAATTTTTGCACGTCCTGACCGTGCCAACCAGTGAGGAAGTGTCTCCCGGTAACGCCCCGTCATTGATGGTAATTCGACAGTGTCTGATGGAGCGAAAAGAGCAATGTTTGACATCATAACCCAGGGACGAGAAGCAATTGCTCGGAAGAGGGAACTAGTTTTTCAACATTATGAGCAAACTAGGATGACTCTTGAGGGTAGAGAGGACCGGATACACCGGGCTTTAGACCATGATTGTTCTGATTTGTCGAGAGACAAGCAGTTTCTCCTCTTCAAAGTCATGGCAGCAGACGCAGGAGTGGATGATGAGCACTTGGTTGATACCCTGGTCAATGGGGTTAATACGTCCAACTCATGAGGAGCACGAGGTGGAGCCGGAAATCGATCATGTCTAAAAGTCCATACGATTGTACTGACAACGTCCGTAAGACTATTTGGGAAGGCGCACTAGAAGAAGCGGGCAGGGGCTGGCTTGAGGGCCAGAAGTCGCTCGCATCTTGGGATCTCGTTTTGTAGTGTCCAGACGTTTTGGTTTGGAGCAAACTGACAAAATCCGTGCCACGATGACATGTCGGAATCTTTGGTAAACTCTGCTTTTGCCCCCTCCTATAAGCTAGACCTGAGCGGTATCGACGGAGTTGCAGTTTTGGCTCGGACTTTTCTAGATGCGGTAAAGAGTGACGGACAGGTAGAATTGCTCTTGAGTGATGGTTCCAGGTTGAACGGTCATTTGCATGAGTCTTGGAGCCGACAGGAGGCCAACCAGTTAAGTGGACGGACCTTAGACCTTGATGCTGCGTACAAACAGTTGTTAGTTGCAAAGTCGTCGCGTTGGACGGCTGTCCTGGCAGTGGAGGACTTGCAAGGGGCTCGACGCTTATTCATTTCTAAGGTACTACCGTTCGGAGCCACTGCGACCGTGTTTGCCTTCAATCGGATCGCAAGAGCAATACATGCAATAGGAGAGCGATTGTTTGGTTTGGTTTGGTCCAACTATTTTGATGATTACCCGCAGCTCGATTTGGCAGCCTCTCAGAACGATTTTCGCAAGTGACGGCAGAACGACTGCTTGACCTGTTGGGTTGGAAGTTTTCACAGAAGGAAAGCAAGCGCAGACCCTTTGACTTCACCTTTGATGCGCTGGGAGTTACGTTTGATTTCACCCGGTGTAAATTCGGTGAATTTGTTGTTCGTAACAAGGCCTCTAGAGTGCTACAAGTGTCCGCTGAGATTGAATCGATCCTTCAGAAAGGGTCGTTTCCACCCAAAGCAGCTTCCTCCTTGAGAGGAAAGTTGCAATTCGCTGAGGCACACACGTTCGGCCGAATCCTGTCTTCAAACCTGCGAGCCTTTCAGAACAGAGCCACAGGTAAAGATGCCGGGGAGAGCATCAATGCTGCACTAAGGCTAGAACTTGAATGGGCTAAGGACTTCCTGCAAAGCAACCGGCCGCGAACACTATGGTGCGATATGGACAGTTCACGTTTAGTGATTTTCACGGATGCATCGCTAGAAGGGTCCGACACTTGTGGGGGAATTGGCATGGTTGCTGTTCATGTTGTGGGTGGTGTTGCCTGTGAAAATTTTTTCTTTTCAGATGTCTTTCCACCCAGCCTCTTGTCAAAGTGGCAGTCGCGATCAAAGAAAATCATCGCCTCCCTTGAATTGGGGGCTGCTGTGCTGGCAGTCAAGCTGATGTCAGATATGTTTGAGAAGATTCGTGTTTTTCTGTACGTCGACAACGAAGCCGCCAGAGCTTCATTGATTAACATGTTCAGCCCCATCCTCTTGCGCAACGCTCTCCTTAAGGAGTTAAACGAAGTTGTGCTTGCTCGCAGTTTGTTCTTATGGTCGGCCCGAGTGCCCTCGGCTTCAAATCCGGCTGATGCACCATCTGGGGCGGAGATAGAGGAATATGAGGAAAGAATTAAGGCAGGCGCATGCCAACTGTGTGTACAGTGGTCCCAAGTAGATGCGGATGTCTGAAAGGGGAAACAAAGATATTTGGTGTGCAGTGCTCTTAAGTGGGGTTAGCCAAGGCCCAGCATGAATGTCCTAAAGTTGATGTCGCTGGCTTGGTTCCATGGACCCGCACGTCCACAGGAACTGCGCCCATGGAGCACCCCAAGTTCAAAACACGCGGCGGTCGAGACGCGTGAGAGCACAGGACATGAGAGGAGCAAACAATTTGCCTTAATCTGCGCAACATAATGCATGCCTCCAATAAGTCAGAGACTAACATTGGTCAAGAGTTGAGCAAGGGTGAAAAAGACTCCATGCCACCTTGAGCAGCCACCACCCACTGTGTGTGTTAGTGTTGGTAGTGTCGGTGATCCACGTGTGGCTGAGCAGGGTTCCTGTGTCGTTGTCGCGGTGATGTGGATGTATACATAATACATAGGTGGTGTGTGTGTGTGTGTCACTGGGTGCCTGTATCTCATGGACCCTTAGCTTCTTGTGGTCCTACCACGAGAAGCTGCCCGCCCAAGCCTCGTGATTCTGAAGTTGCCGTCATAGTGTGTGCAGAATCGAAGGTGCACAGCCCCAAGTGCAGGCAAAGAGTCTAACTCCTTTCACTGTCACCTTTTTATCAGGCTCGTTGTGTTTGGCTTTCTTGGGCTAGCAAGGCTCGATCATTTACAAACTTGTACCAGCTTGCTTATGGTAGAATAACGAAGCTGCTCGATTATAGCATTGCAAATGTAAATGTGAAACGGCGTAAGATTCCCCTAGAAATGCTGAGAGCTTGGAAGTTTCATGGTTTGGAACCTTCTACATTCAGAAATCAGCAGAAAGTAGCAGAATTGTCGCAGTTTGATGAACGCGGAACGTGAGGGTAAGCAATGGTAACCACTAAGGACAACTTGAAGTACTCTATGCACCTCATCCTCACTGATACCGAGGGTGGTTTGCCTGTGGTTTGCGGCGCGCGCAATCAGTTGCACTTTGATGGACGGGCCATCACTGTGGATGGCAAGCCGTTGAAGGAGGTTGTGACAGCAAGTGACCTTTAAATAGATTGTTCGACGTAGACAATTTTCGAGAGCACCACAGAATGTCTGACCTCTTTTCCACTCAGCTGCTGTAGCATTCTGGTAGCTGAGCTCAGCAAGGGAAGCCAGCAATGTGCACCGCAGCTTGTAATGGGTGGTGCTTCTCCGGGTTTTGTTCCTGGCAGCAGTGTGTACAGTCAGTTTATTCAGTTTAGGCATAGCCAGCGTTAGGTACTTTGCTTGCTTCTTTTGAGTCCAGGTGATGAGATTTGTTGCCCACAAGCTTGTGCAAAGGTAGTCTTCGGATGCACAGTCTGTTTGCCTCCGCTAAGCCCTAGAGGGAAAACGGAGCGCAGTGTTGAGTCCAGCAGAGTCAAGAAGCTGCCGCATTGATCGCACTATCCTCGCGCGGTCAGATCCAATGTCCTTTCCGGCCGTACTGCACTGTTGTGTGGCTCAACAGCCCATCGAAGTGCAGTGGGCAGTTTCACCCCATCATGCCAGCTTATGGAGTCGAGGCTTTGAGGCAAATGACAGACCAACGAATTTCTCTTTCATGGTTCGCCTGCACAGTTCAAGCTTTAACATGGAGTCAGATCACCATCTGTCCCCAGGCACAAGGCTGAACTGAATGAAGTCAGAGACCGTGCTTTGCCTCAGTTATTTTTGTGGGGTGGGGTGGGGGGTTGTACTAGCACAAATCATCGTGGGTGCCATCTCATGTTTATGACAACGCGTGGATGCATACCGAGTACAATTGGCAAGTTTGGAGACGAAGCATCAGCAAGCCACCACTTTGGGTTCGGAGTTGAGCTCGGTGCCCGCAGGTATTGGCAGCCTCCTCCGACAGTTGGATCCAGATGATGAAGCCAGGTGCCCAGCTGGAACGCGCACAGACTGTAATGGGCAACAAGCACGCTAATGTAGCCAAGTTGGGAAAGAGCCATGAAGACCTTGCACTTCATAGCCGGGCAATGCTTTGGCTTTTTGAGGAGAAAAGCCGCACACAGCCGCGCGTCACCAAGAAGATGACGCGAAGGGCACATCTCTCAGGAGCAGATGGAGCAAGTCTCAAAGACTAGTGGGCCAGAAAAGTGTCTTCAAATCAGCTAAAGTAATGATAGTCTGAAATGAACTCCAACCTAATAGCGATGGCCTCCAACCAAATCGTCGATGGCCTCCAACTTACTAGCGATGGCCTCCAACCTAATAGCGATGGCCTCCAACCTAATAGCGATGACCTCCAGCTTAATGGCGATGGCCTCCAACCTAATAGCGATGACCTCCAACCTTATAGTGATGGCCTCCAAGAAAATAGCGATGGCCTCCAACTTATTAGCGATGGCCTCCAACCTAATAGCGATGGCCTCCAACTAATAGCGATGGCCTCCAACCTGGACCTAATCGTTGATGGCCTCCAACCTTTTAGCGATGGCCGCTAAAGCCTAATAGCGATGGCCTCCAACCTAATATCGATGGCCTCGAACCCAGGACCCAATATCTATGGCCTCCAACCCAAATAGCAATGGCCTCCAGCCTAATAATAGCGATGGCCTCCAACTTAATAGCGATGGCCTCCAACCCAAAAGCGATGGCCTCCAACCTGGACCTAATCGTCGATGGCCTCCAACCTAATATCGATGGCCTCCAACCCAGGACCCAATATCATCCAATATCTATGGCCTCCAACCCTAATAGCCATGGCCTCCAACCTGGACCAAATCATCGGTGGCCTCCAACCTTTCAGCGATGGCCGCCAAACCTAGTAGCGATGGCCTCCAACCTAATATCGATGGTCTCCAACCCAGTATCGATTGTACGTGGAAATGCGGATTTTCTTCCTGTCAGCCACTCAGCCACTCAAGACCCTGAGTGGCTGAGTGGCCGAGTGGCTGACAGAAAGGAACGTCTGAGTGGCTGAGTAGCTGACAGGAAGAAAAGCCTGAGTGGCTGAGTGGCTGACAGCAAGAAGAGCTTGAGTGGCTGAGTGGTTGAGTGGTTGGTGTGGAGTAGTCGTCGTAGTAGACGTTTTGTATTGGCACTAGGCTAGCACTAGCCAGTACAGTACTAGTACTAGTACCACTACTACTTCTACTACTACTACTGCTCCTCCTCCTACTCCTACTGCTCCTGCTCCTGCTCCTCCTGCTACTGCC